TGTGGTGGGGGGGGGGGGGGGAGAAAAACGAATGAGAAGCTGTGAAGATGGGTAAACATGAAAGGAAAAGTTACAGCTGACCCTACATTCGGTAGCAGAAATGTTATTTCGGATGTGATTGAGTTGTCGAAAGTTTTTGGAAATAAAAAAATAGCTTTTGATGAAAAATCTCAAGACAAACAAAGATCAGATGACGTTGTTTTGCTTCTAATGATGGCAATAGAGAATAAAATAATAATTGATAGGACTGCTTTTGATCAAAAGTTTAATTGTCAACTGTGTTTTTACATTCTCTGACTGTTCACATCTGTTTTGTGACTCTTGTCATGTCCTCCGAAAGTTTTTCAAGACGAGCCATCTGGAATTTGCTAATCCATTTCGCCGGATTTATTCATTTTTCCTTGTTTAGACAAGAAATAGCTTGTGTGTCAAAGTGTGAAAAATCCATTTAACTGACACTTATTCCTTTTTGAATTCTAACGGACTTTAAAGAGAGAAGCTTTTGTGGCAAAGAAACAGTTAATAACATGTTTTTGCCATATATAGCAAGGGAGTCTAAAGATTATTTTAAGCCTATCAAATGACTTGAAATAGAGAGTATTATGGTAATTAATATGCTCATAAGTGCTCTAGAAACAACGAAGGTTATCTAATCCTTTAATGAATATACTTATAAGGATCTCAATAGAATCATCTACCAGATGACGTGAGCACAAAGAGTATTCTTTATATTCACAAGATGACATAAATAGCATTTTTCGTCTGTTTAACCTATGGGAAATGAAACTATAAAGAGAATGGAGTTAGGTGAATGATCTACATGAATTGCATCATCACTCAAGAATCATATTGAGAAAGTTATCATAAAAAGACATTTATAGCTTTCTAATACTCACTCTTTGACTCTCTCTCACGAATGTGATTAATGAGGTTGAGGAGCAACATAGAATTACTTGCTTTTCAAAAAATTTTTCTTTTTTTTTTCATTACCTAATAAGGGCTGTGACACATCAATCTGTATGTCAAACTTCCTTGCAGGGATATCATAGATTCTATTAATGAATAGTAATTGTAAGAGAGATTTATAGTTCTATATGAAAGCTATAATGTAAGAGAGATTATTAAAACTTAATCAGAAGCGATTGGGTTGAGGACATGTAGGAGAAATGAATTCTTGCATTCACACAACCATATATGATCGAATGGGACGATCTCTTGTTCTATTTCTCTCATTTCTCCATTATTTATTTAATATTTTCTTTCTTTTTTTTTCTTTTTTCCGAAACTATCGGCCTTTCAAACGTTGTTTCGGGTTTTTGTTATATCTCTCATGCTCTCTCACATTCGCACACTATTTACTGAATTCAGAAGCGATTGTATTGGTCTGCAACGATTACGGCCAGCCCTGAGGGCATACGGTAGTTGTCAAAGAATATGTACGACCACCTACATCTAAAATATTCATAATATACTTTTTTTTATATATTATAACATATAAGAAATATATAGAAGAGTAAAGCTTCAGTTTAGAATAATCACACGATGTATCAGATGTGAAGGCTGTTGAGCATCGAAAATAATGTTTGAAAAGTCGAAAGATGAGCAAAAGATTAAATCAGATAGATAAACGACTTTAATTAGACGTTTCGTCGTCGATATACGAGGGTTGGAGTGAAGCATAAAATCCTTATTTGACTAGTTGTTGATACGCATTTCCTTGATTTAACACTATTCCACATGTAAGTGAGAACAGATGTATCATTTGAGCATTTTGCAAGAATCTTTTTAATTAAAAAAAATTAAGAAGGAAGAATATTCTCTGTGTGTATGTGTGTGTGTGTGTGCATGGATGGATGTGTATATCTATGAAATGGTGTTGATGAGATTCAACCGCTTGCATGTCTTGAATAAAGGCTTAAATGAAGAAAAGAAACTTTCCACGTATACACACACACACACGTGGAATGTTGTTTGACGTGAATGATGGGTTAAGTGGAATAGATTGATTGCGCTAATGAGAATGATTTTTACGAAGAGAAATTGATAGTAGTAAGTATTTGGAAATGCTTTCACACAAAAGCAAATAGAAAAATGAGAGGAGAAGCTTTTATTTCGAATATAGGTTGTGATTTCTTAAATAAGAGATTAGTCTAAGAATTGATTTTAACATAACAGATGACGATAGACAGGTATCTTCTCATTCTACCGTAATACTTATGTCATTGACATTTGACTCAATACGAACAGATTATTGAAGGAATCGTATTTGACAAATTGAATGAGAAAGTTACGAATGCTTTATCTTCACACACACATACACACACACACACACACCCAGAGCTAACTCTTGAATGAAAAGAATAAAATAGTCGTCTGATCTTAATGAACGATGCTCTTATGAGTCTTGAGAGATGGTAGTCATTCACCATTTACATGAAGTGAATAAAAAAGAGAGAGAAGATGATGAAGAAATAGAAGAATGCATGAGCCTTTTATGGTATTGTGTGCTTATTTCTTCTTAAAGAGTTCTCATGTGTGGTTTCTTTACATGCTTTCGAGAGGAGCATCTTCCCTTCCTCCTTTTTTTTTTCCTCCTCCTCTCTATCTGTTCAGTATTTTTGGCTTAAAGCAAGTAATCTACTAGGAGGGAAACGAAAAAGACTAAATGTAGACAACGATAGAAGTGGTCATGGGAAAATAGGCATATATGGCCATATGAAGTATATTTGTGTACATGAAAGTGAGTTTTAAAGAAGATGAGAATATCCCACTTGAATCTCAATAAAAGCCAACAGTTGCAAGTCGTCGTAATGACAAAAATTATAATAATTCTTTTGGCATTTTAATCATCAATTCTCCCTCTCTCTCTCTTTCTCTCTCCTTCTGTCCCTCTCTCTCTTATTAAATGAGAATTATTGTTAATTATGATGAAGCAGAAGGTGATGAGAAGTCATATAAAATAATTATAAAATGATGTTTATGTCATCATTATATATTCAATATCTCCTCTATCTGCCTATACTCATGCTCACACTAGCCACACTCATACAATCATCATACACACACACTTACACCACAGTCACATATACTCATCTTTCGACACATTTCATATAGTTAGATATACTATATCTATATCTCTCAAGAAGGCTTTCTATAGGAAAAAGTAAAATCTCTACTCCCTAGAGGTATGACATCTAAGCTTCTTCATGTCAAGCCTGTAAATGGAAAATGAGATTTCCAATTTTGATTTTAGAACTAGATTTTCATAGCAATTTTCACAGTTCACATCCTTATTGGAGAGTGGGTTACAGTTAATATTAACTGACATATAGAAGGCCAGATTGACCAACTTCTTTTGTGTGTCCAAAAAAGGAATTCACACCAATGGAAGTATGATGTTCATTAAGAAATTTGATAAAACTACCTGCTGAGTAAAAGAATTTGTGTGAAAATGAAAAATGAACACGAGAGTGTTGAATGATGGAAGTAAGATGAGATACGGTAGACATCTGTTACTAATAAGAAAGATAAAGCTCCTTCATGTGGTCTTGGCAGAAAATGCAAGAATAATATTTTTATAAAAAAAATAATATAAATGATGAAATGATGACATCTATTATATGCTATTGGAGGTCTTTAAAACTTAAGTTGGTGCAGATGTTGATGAACTTCTCAACTCATACCTCATCTGGCTCATTCTCATTATATGCACTTTTGATTTATACTATATCAAACGTGTGTTATAATTAGAATGCTCGTATTAGTATACAGTATAGTATATAGTATACATACATCTGTATTTGTTCGTCTTGAAGTTGAAGAAATTTATTTTTCTCTCATCAGCTTGTTTGAGGCTTGAATGTCTCGTCTACCGTATGCTCGGACAGAATTTAACGAGAAACAAGAAATCAGATGACGTGTATCGTCGTTGTAGACGTTGTCGTCGATCATCTTTCTCTCTCTCCGGATGTTTGTCTTCCTCATCGCTTAGCCAGTTGAATGATGAAGAACATCTGACCAAAGCTTCTTATTTTCACACTCTTGCCATTTATAGTCGCAGGCAAATGAATTACATAAGAATTACTTGTTATGGGAAGTTTCTTTTCAAGAAATAGCACATACGCGGCTGCTACCGTATACCACTTCATCATAAAATTGGTCTGAACTTAATGAGCGTTGGTGGTCGTGATAAAAAAAAATTTTTTTTCAAAAAATAAGAATAAGGAGAGGAAGTCTTTGAAATATTGAAATGAAAAGAATGAAAACGGATTTTCATACGACCTCCGTGATTTTTCTTTAGAAAAATCTTCTTTTTTCAAATTTTCTGATCCATTTTTTCATAAAGTAAAGCTTAGCGATTTAATAATAATTATTCCATGATGTGTGTGTGTGTGTAATTAACCAATATTAGCTATATAAGGTCATTATGAGTGGAGTCATTTACGCGTTGTTCAATCAAATACTGAAAGAAGCCGAATGAACATTTTTCATAAAAAGATTTAGTTTTTTATGTTCATTGGCGGCATTTACAACATTGATTCCTTCTGAAAGAACCAAATAAGTCAATTACCGTAATCCAGTTTGTAAAAGATATAGAGAGAGAGTAATAGAGAGAGAGAGGGAGGGAGAGGGAATGAGGAAGAAGGGAAGTTGGTTGGAAAGAATTTGAAGATTTCAATGGTCGGATGAATGGCAAACGGCATTCATAAACTTTTTTTTTAACCGTATAATATCATAAAAAAAAGCTTTTTGACACAAGAAGTTAATGGAAAAGAGATGGAAAGTAATGTTCCTTGTTTGGACTTCATTACTCCTCTTCATCCAATTCTCCCTCTCTCTCTCTCTCTTCGATTCATTTTCTCTCTCTGGGTTTCTCTATTTCTCTCTGTCAGCCATTTATCCTTATTAAAACTATTTTTCATTCTATCTTTATACATTAACCATACCTTATTATAAAAGGTTAAGGTATTGTATATAAAAGGATCAAAACGATCCTAATACGCCTAATTATAACGTTGAAACGACGACTTCGGTTCGTTCTCTTTCTGATTTCACACATTAGGTGGCCCGACAGACAATACACGCAATATTTGAATCTCAAATGAATTATTAACTATATATGGGTATGTGAAGATGAAAAGAAGAAGAAGAGGGGGGGGGAAGGAAATATTATTAAAATAAAAGAAAATCTTCAACAACCGTTCTGAGTGAATTGAGATTGTTGAATACGCAATGTGCTATCCACGTTTTGACGTGGCATAAGTTGCTTCACATGAAGTATGCAAATGAGCTATTGAACTTGAACGTTATGTGTTATGTAAAGAAATAGGAAATGGATGATTACGGTAAAGCTTGTTGAACAACTCTTTTTTTGGATCAAAACGGATGGTTCGTTCTCTGTTGTACTCCATACTCTCCTCTACTTCTTCTTCTTCTTTTTTTTTTTTTTTGAACAAATGTTTGAGCTTTTTGTTTTTGACGTGTTTTTACTGGCACATATAAAGTAATGGAAGTCACTACAATCATCTCTCAAACTGTCTGTCTGTTTGTCAGAATTCATGTTGACATTACGATCTGACTGTCAAGCAATTTCTCTTTCTATCTAGCATCTGATATACACGAATATTCTCAGGAAGGGAATAGAATATATATTTTATATATTATAAAAAATATATATTTATATGTATATGTCTACCTATCTATCATATCTACATAAATCTTAACCGCGTATTGTATTGGATGATGGTGGGTGGTGGTGGTGTTGGATTAAAAAGGATACGTTCCAACTGCCGTCTTAGACAGATGACGTGTCAATTGATGGATGTTGTGTAAAACTAAGTCACAGCAGGATTCTACCTGCTGTGCTATGAATATAAGTTTCTCATAGTTTGCATGGCTTTTTGTGTATTTCATTCCGAAATAGAGAAGATGAAAAGAATTTCTTTTGTGACCGCATTAAAGATGATGACAAGGTGTGAAATAAGAAGTTTTAAATGATGAATTAAGTAAGAAGATTAGTCTTCAACATACTGTCCTTCAAACATCTGTATAGCCTTACACACACACATACAGAGACAGACACATTCACATTCACACACTCACGCGACAGAGAATTAAAAATGTTTTTTCTTGTATTACAATACTGAGGGACTGGTTGAGATGAATATAATTTTCTAATTTTCATTTTGGAAATTCTTTTTGTTACAGAAGAGCAAGTCAGCTTCATCGGCTGAGAAGGAAATAGCTCGAAAATGGTTGGCAAGTTGTCGTCGCGGATCTGTCATCGAGTGTTCGCAGCTTCTTGAAAAGAATGTAAAGAGAAATGATTGAAATAGATCTTATCCGCATCAACTTTAACTTATTTCAGAAATATCTGATTAACTATGTGACACCAAACTACTATAACTATACGTGTGTGCATGTGGCTACCAGAGCACGTCAACATGCTGTTTTACAATTTTTGTCGGATAGTAAGGCAGATTTGAATGCTCAAACATTGGTTAGGCAAACATGGAAAGTATTATGCAAATGATGTTTAATTATAGTCAGGATATACAGCTTTACATTTAGCTGCTCAAACGAATGATAAAGAAACAATCAATGTTCTTCGAGCATTAGGTTAGTCAACTTCATTTTTCATATTTGAATAACTTTAGAGGGCATCATCATCCTCATCCTCATCATCATCACCATCATCATCATCACAAAAAAAAAATCTCATCTGTCATGAGACGTTTTGGCTTTTGTCGGCTTGTTGAACTTGGTCATTCGAGATGCCCAATATTTGTTTTAAAAGTTGAATAAGATGTTGATATGGATCAGAAGTAGGTGGGAATTACTATGAAAACATTGAGTGAGAGATAGGAAACATCAAAGAGTATTGAAAGCTTTTGATGGGTAGTTAGCTGCACCTATGTTTAATGGAAAATCTCTTCTGTTAGTATTCTATCTTATCTTTTTGACTGTCAAACTGATGATGGTGGTGATGATGATGATGATGATCAACAAACGCTTCTAATGTATTGATGTCAGATCATATGCTTAATACTTAAACAATTAAAAAAATATCATTGAATTGTGAGAGATTATGAGAACAGGATAGAAGCCTCAACTGGAGACACAAGAAGCTGATTGCTTGTTGACAGTAGCCAACAGTTAATCTCTCTCTCTCTCTCTCTCATACACACACACATTCTCTTTACGCATTCAATCTCCCACACTTACAGTGTGCTTTATCAAAAAATTTCATACAAATTTCCGGCATGAGGGACTAACATCTTATAGAATGAGTATATGGGAAAAATAAATGTTCTGGAATTTTGCAGGAGCTGACGAAACGATTTGCGACTTCTTCGGACAGCTCTATGGCAATTACTTTTCGACAAAAGAGGCTGAAAGCATATGGACTTCTTCAGGACGTTCAGGTGCGCTTTTTTTTGCATATTATTTGAGCTTTTTATGTCAAAAAGCAGCATACGGTAGTTTTGCATATTCGTAGCAACTCATCTCATAAAGAAGTCGTTAGAACTTGTCGTTCATTGGACTACGGCGAATCATCAAATTCTCGTCTGATTTTGATTTCCTCATTTCCTCTTCTTCTTCTTCTTCTTCTCCTTCGCTCATTTTTTTTTCATTCTCGTCTTCATTCCGATCCGAGTTTATGATGAAGATGAGAATACAGAATGAGCAAACGAGATTTTGAGAAAGAAAAACGGTGTGGAACGTGTTTGAACAAAATCTGTTCAGATGAGCTTTAAATCAATTGTTTTTAAGGCTTTTGACGATAAATGCTCGAGAAAAGCAATCTTCATTGACAAGCTGCTCTCTCTCTATCAATCTCTCTCTATCTCTCTCTCTCTCTCTGATTTAGTGTTCAGAAAAGGGAAAATGAGAATAAAAAACACAAAAATCATCTTTTTGTAATAATAAAATAGTTACAAATGGCTGTAAAGTTGAGTAACAGGAAATGACATTAGATGGTGGTAAATCATTAACACATTGTGACGTCTGTTGATGACAAGTTAAGCTTAGAAGTCATTTTGCATGTTTTACGATTTGCACATTTGGTGTGGATTCAGCTGTTTGAGCTTATTTGTACAAACGATGCTTTTGGAGTTAACATCATGTTAAGCTTACAAAAGTAAAGTTATGAACAAACATTTTGAAAGAAAAAAAATGAAGAGAGTGACGCTATGATTCATCGTTATGCATATCATTCTTATATTCTTCAGAACATTCATCAACATCTCGAGCTTCATCTACATCGCGAACACAACCATTCAATGAAGTCAGTACAACCATGGGATCAATTGATAATCAGAATAGCTCTTCAATAGGACGTACGCGAGAAGCTATTCGTGATCTTCTTAAGATTAACGCTGATTCTCGCTTCTAATGAATTACTGTGTGTGTGTATGTGTATCTCTATGTCTATGCTTACTCAATCCTTTCATGTCTACCTATTTGAGAATGAACATTGTCACTCACATGTCGGCATATTCAATCAGACTATCAGACCAAAAAATGGGAGAAAAGAATTAATAATAATATGCACAAATAGTTTTGTTAATTGTAACCGGTGCTTAAGGCTTGTTGAACTCATTTACTGACGAGGAATCATCGTTAGATGATCATGTGTGAGTTCATTGACCCATGACATCAGTCATTCAGTCAAAGCCGATCCGACAACACGACTGCCAAGATTGTGCCGAGTATGAGAATGAAAGATAGAGATTATACATGTGTATGAGAGAGATAGAGAGGATGAGAGAAAGAGATAGACTCTGTTGAGTTATGAGGACAGACTGTAATAAATAAAATAAAAAATTGTGTCGAGTAGGGACCAACCGTTCCAAATAGAATTGTTCAATTGCAAATGGCAACATCTACAACTACTGCTAATGAGCATTACGTGAGTTTACGTGAAAGTTACGTGGACAATTACTAAGTTCACGTGTAAATAGTCTCACGTGGAGCATATGTAAGCTCACGTGGGTTATGTGTGAGCATGAGAAGTATGCAAAATGCAGAAATTTGGATATTCAAAGCTACGTTTAAGGAGATATGTTCTATTCGTTCATTGTATTGTTTCAATATGCAAATTATAAGGAAATTGATGTGTTGAATGGAAAAGGTTATTGAGGCTGAATGTCCTCAGGGGACTTAATACATATTGAAGTTGTTAATTAGCGTATGAGACGAGCTTATTCATGTTGTCTTTTCATCTCATCTTATCTGCATAATTTTCATTAAAATGCTATAACAACATGTCGCGTTTATAACGGCTTTTCGTCTGTAAGATGGACAGCTTCTCTAGCTTCTTCTATCTCCAACCATGTAGGGAATTAATGAAATATGCAAATGATGATGATGATGATGATTTCTAACAAAAGTCAAAACGATAGTCCTAGGTTAGTAGAACTGTCTGGCATGTCGTCGAGATCATATGGAATAGTAATAATGAGATGAGTTTTTAGCGCAATGATTCATGAATAGAATCATACGGCCATATCCAAATATGCTAATTAATGCATTAACTATATACGTATAGTTAACTTGTCGGACATCTGTTTTATGATGTTTTTATTCATCAAAAACAATATTATTTTTGATTCTAATTCAATTATTATAATATAGCTCATTATAAACTAATTTTTATGATTTTGTACGCGATGAGCATTCGGAAGTCTATTAGAGATTTGCATTCTGTTCTGTCACTGTGTGTGAATTCTCTTCTGAATGCACCGAATTTACAGGTGTCATGAGATCCAAGTAATTATCTGACTTCTTAGCTCTGACGCCATGATTGAAGTTAAAAGAGTTTGCCGACACGTTGTATGACGTCATTCATATATTTATTTGTAAATGATTAATGAAAGAATATGAGTGACATGTTGCTAAAGTTTAAGTATATCCGTTTATGAAATCTTTAATTATAGATATATTACGGTAATATGTAATGTGATTGAACTCGCTAAGAGCTGAGGGATTGAAGGAGATGAGTTAACACCTCTCTCTCTCTCTCTCTCTTTATATATAAGTTTCTCTCTGAGAGGAGTAAATGTCTGAAATGATAACTCATAGAGAGGGATAGAGGGAGAAGCAGAGTGAGGGAAAGAAGGAAAATGATTAAATGATGGAAAGTGATTGTATGTGTGTGTGTCTATGTGTGTGTGGTATCGGTCGGGGATGAGATGAGTATGATGAGAATGGATAAAATCCTTTTTTGTATTGTTTTATATAATATAAAACGAAGTATCTGTTTGTAATCGTGAGATTTCATTCGTTTCACTTCTAAATGCTCTTTCTCTTCTTCTTCTTCTTTTTTTTTCCGTCTGATTGCTCTTTAATAGAAAGCAAAATATCACATCGTCAAGAGGGTCTGTTCGTTGTTTCCGTCAAGCTAAGGCTACCGTAGTCTTAAACGACGATGAATTTCACATGTTTGCAAAGGAATACAGATGATTTGGATGGAGAAGTTGAGGAACAGATAAAACTTGAGAAGCTGTGTTGAGCAAATATCGAACAAGATGAAAAAGAAGAAGCCGTCCGATTTGATAAGATGATGAACTAATCTGCGAAGAGAAGATGAAGTGTGAAGTATAAACATCATTGAAAATAGTCGTCGAAATGATCAATTGAATTGGATACAATTGACTAACAGATTAGACGTAGATAGATAGAAAAATAGATTTTTATTTTAAAAGAGAACAACCAGCTTCTTAAGAGAGAAAGAGAGAGAGAGAGAGAAGAAGGCAGCGCACAGAGAGAGAGAGAGAGGTTGAATGATACGATATGATAGATGAAGCTGATGAAGAAGAGCAGACAATGAAATATGAAAAATGAAAAGAATTATAGAAAGTTTTCATTTAAAAATGATACAATCGTCTCTCCGATAAGCAATCACGATTAGTTTCTGTGAACACAAGAATCGGAACCAATCGTCAAACAGGACTCTTGATGTGCAAAATGAAAAATGAACTCTTCCGAACAGTAAGGGAGCCAACGAATAATATGTTTTTGGATAATTTATATCATATATAACTTTCTATGAGTTAAGCATATTCAATATTCATATTGTCCATTCAATAAGCTCTTACAGTACTTCAGTAACTGAGAGTTCGGTTGTTGTTGTTGCTGTTCACTAGCTTCATCAATGCTATTCGCTCATTACTGTACTTGGATAGGTATTGGTTGTAATGATGTTGATAGAGGATTGGAATGACCTTATGAAGATATATGTATATAATTAATGATTATAAAGATGTTTTGATTAAAATCTTTATAATATAAAATCATTCAATTGCCAACACCTGTGTTATACATGATGGTGAAGACGAGAGACATAAAAACTGATGTAAAGATTGATGAGGTGTATTGACGAGATGTTGATGTATCTATTCAAGATCTCTTGCGCGAAATGAATGTCGACGATGACGACGACACAAAAAAAATAGAATCAGATGAAGACAGGTATTCTTAGTTGGATTGATGATGAATGATTGAAACTTAATTACTCTCATCTACCTATGTCTACATCATGATCTCTAGATTGTCGTCGTACATTGCCATCAGCATCTTATACTAATTGAAAAATGGATGGAATATCGTTGTCGCCTTGTTCGATTGTTATCTTTCAGTCAAATCTCAACAGGTGTCAGTTGAAGACTAATTAACAGCAATGTTCCAGACATTGATGTTCAAAGCTGATAAAAATGAAAATAAATTTTTTTTTGTACAAAATTGTGCCAAAAGAACAGCTGACAGATTACTATGTAATGGCCCTGACGGATGATATGCCATCTTGTGTATATGTTATATCGTTAACTGAGGGACGGGTTTTTAATTATAATTTTGGTAATATCATATATAGAAGCATATTGGTATTGATTAAGCTGGCTACTGTTATCATAACTCATTCTCTCTCTCTTTAGATCTCTCTCTCTCTCTATAGATCATTCTCTCTCTCTCTCTATGTTGTTACATCTTTCATTCTTACCGATGTGAACAATACAGAAAACTGATTGGAATGAAAAATTATCTCACGAGGTTAATCCGTCTGAGACGACAATCTGTCCATTTATGTCGGCATATCCTCTTATATATAGTTTATTGTATTTAACTATACATATAAGTAAAGTCAAAAAAACAGAAGGAAAGGGACACAAATCTGTTTTATTGACATCCGACTCATATTTGGAGACAGTATTGCATTACCTATCCCATCTTTATAAGCTTTCGGAAGAAATAGTTGTTTGTACTTAATGATGTGCTATATATGGTCAATTGACAGAAGGAAACTCTCAGGTTGCTAATCCGAGATGATCGGCTCAGGACATGCTTTTTACCTTTTCATCTCAAATATTGTTTAAGTCGGAAGTTATTAAAAGAAGAAATGTATATCGAATATCTCTGATGAGGGAATGTCAAACAGGCCGTTTATCATTATAAAAATTATAAAATATATGAATGAGAAGAGATGTACATGAAACTACAAGCTACAAACTACATGCTACTCGTACTACTGAATTGAGCTACTGCTGTTGTGCTTGAACACAACTTCAAATGAAAGTAACGCTGACCTCAAGCCGCAAAAGAATGAATAGAAAGGAATTAGTTTGACAGCTTACAAGTTGTCTTTGTATACGGTAAGTTTGATGGAATAAATGTCGTTTGAAGACATACAATCCGTTCTTGAAACACAAAAAGAAGATTGAAAAACGAGAAGTTAAATTGTTGTTTAAGGATTTGCATTTTCTTTTATTCTAATCTCTCATTCGAACACACAATCAGCATTTGGAAAGAGCTTAAAGTATCTTATGCGATGAAGCAACAAGAAGTTAGTTTTTAAAATGAATTACATGGGATTATAAGACATACGTGACCTCTGTTGGATTATCTATACTCTATCTAACTTGCTTAAAGCTTTTATAATACTTTTTTCCTTCTTCTTCTTCTTCTTCAACGATTGTGGGAAAACGTATTGTTAGACCAGAAGACATGATCATCATGCTGGATAGAGATAGAGAGAGAGAGATCATGAAGTTCTATTATGAAAGATGTATTCATGAAGTGATGACTTAAGTTCTTGTCTATAAGGTTACTGTATATAATCTGTGAATAAGAAGAGCACTTGATTTACATACATATTCGTAAGCTTATTTTTCATTTTCTATTGGTTAAGATGATCTTCAGAATGAGATTGAATGCCAAGTGCCAAAAGACCTTGTGGATTAGACATGAGACGCTGTTGAAGTCAATCATCTTCATGTTCTAACTATGATTATATGATATTCTTATTATAGTTTAACATATATCATATAAACAACAACAACAAAGTTTATATATGTCATATTTTTATTAAAATTTACAGCTTCTTAACAGATGGAGCATTGGGATGTTATGCAACTACCGTATCCATAAATCATCTTACAAGAAATTGATATGAAGAATATAATAACTGTTGGTTATTATATAAGTCAAATACATTTATAAACAGCTGAAGATATCTGTTTGTTTTTCTAATGACCCATTGACCTTTAAGCTTATATGATACAGCTGGTTTGAACTGTTGAAGCATGTAGATATTCTCACTTACTTGAACGAATTGAAAATGTTTATTTTTGTTTTCAATGAACATCTGGTAATATTCTTCCTCTCATACTCATTCTCTCTCTCTCTCTCTCCCTCTATCTAACTCTCTTACTCTCCTCTTGACACTCATCAGACGGTATCCACTAAACGTCTTCATTCATTACGTCATTTTCACCATCTGTATTGACTCCATTAAGAGCTCATCAACTTCGAAACTGTTTGATCAAAGACATTCTCCGATAATAAGCAACTGATCCCACATGACGTCATCAACCTTCCTTCTTTTACCAAATATGGAGAGTATAATAGCTTCTTGAAAACAAATCTCATAACCATATGTTAAGATTATGGTTTAAGTAACCTTTCATATATAAACTGTCAACAAACAACAATATATTTGTTTTCATCTACTGAATGGCTGTCAAATGATCATTTTGCATCTGCTGCGACTGATAGGGGCATCGAACATATTTTAAATGAAGAATTTATTTTTAAAATTATTATCAAACATTGGATGTTTCAACAATTCCCAAATCTTTTTTCCCCTTAAGCATGCAATTACAACAGATACTACAGTTGATGTTCAAGAAGGCTGGAAATGATGGTTAATTATTAGTCGCGGTCAAATCACAACAGCTCATCTAAAATAGAAGTTACGAATAAATTTATCAGAAAATTATTTTTGTGTGACAAACTGATTAAGGAGTTGCACTCACTCACATCTGCAACCTGAAGCAGCTCCGTTTTTTCAAGATAATAGCTGTTAGGTTTCTTTCAATGCCTACAGACTAGTTGTCGTGGTTCTGAGTGATCCTTCGATTTTTGAGGGAACCATATACTTTTTCTGCATACTCTCACTGGGCTATGTTTTATAATTCATAAAATACAGTTCATTCAAAGAAGTTGATTCCAATTTGATGTTTAGAACATACTTCTCGGAATGTTGAAACAAAGAGTGGATACTCGGGCGCTCCAATTCTTGATAATTCTGATAGATTGACTGGATTCCTTTAAGGTGTTTCAACGTTAATCGGAAGTATACTTGGCCAAAAAATAGGCTCGCGAGCTCGAGAGGAGTTTTAAGGGCTCGAGTTCGGCTCGAGCTCGTCCTCGAGCTTTCGATTTTTAACATCATTTCAGAACACAGAGAGGAAAAAGAAAAACAATTGTAATGCTAGGTACGCAGTTGTTATCGATTAATCAATTTATTTATTTCGTATTTGAACGTGTGATTAAAAATAAGAAACGGTAATTCTAAATACAACAGTACATGAGTAATTTCAAAATTGTTTGAAATCAAAAGCTCGATTGATTTCAAACATCGAATGATTAGAATACCTAGAACAATTTTAAAATCGTTTGAAATCAAGAGCTGGAATAAACAACTGGGAATGATTCCAAACCACAAATAATTTCAAAACTGAAATCAAGAGCTCGAATATTAAAATGACCTCGAGCCGAGCCCGGCAAAGTATAACTCTGAACTTTTTTTTAAGAAATACCCGGAGGGCTTTGTTAGAACCCACCCAACCATCACCAGAGGGATAATAGAAGGAGTGATGGAAAATCACACCCATATAGGTAGTCTAAATTTTTTTTCAAATTTCATCATTTATTCAGTCGGTATAAGGCGATCGAACGGTGGATGAAGAATTACTTGAGTGATTATTATTGCGTACTCAAGCACGTATTTTCTTCCAAATAAACCTTTATTCCTCCAAATATTATTTTTGTTTCAACGTCGAGACACTAGGTGGTCTCATAAACTGTCACAGCTGAAAAAAAATTTGAGTAATAACATTTCCATTAGTATCATCTAAACATCAAATTGGAATTAACATCTTCGAATGAAATATATCCCGGACGAATAGCTCTCATCTTTCCCCTTATCCTTAAACAGTGCAACATTATCATCCCGTGGAATTACAATGAGAGGATTTAAAACATTTATTCATCTAAATACGGAAATAGGAAAATAAACGGAATACCTGTAACAGGATATAATCAAGCCAATATAAGTACAACTAAAGAGGGAAGAGAGAGAGAGAGAAAGATAGTTATAAGTTAACTTGAAGTCAAAAAACTACCACATGCCCGCAGTAAAAGATAGGAAGTTTTTCGGAAAAGATTCCTAAAATCTAGAATGTAGAATTTGTACAAAGAAAACCGAAACATCGCCCAGCAATAGTATTAGAAACGACAGTATGTTTTCGGAAGCTGTTCCATTGACTAGATATGAGATAACCGGAAAAATGTAAGTTTAAGGTACGAAGTTTCTTAATTTGGAATTCAAAACACAGAAAAACAATAACAAAATAGGAAATGAACACGATAAGTGTCAAGTCTGTGAGAATGAAGCTATGTCATTGGAAAGTATTAAGATGGCAAAGTTATGCTTTGACATTTGGCTTGCTCAAAGCTGAAGAGCATCCTGATAGAGATGAAGTCACTGATGAAGCACTTGCCGTACTACGATCAGCATTCTGCGCTGTCCTTTCCTTCAGCTTGTCCGCATAGCTCTTACGTGGTTCAGGTTTCATATGTCTTTTCCCTGCAGCTACACAACTATCAAACAGATAAGACAAGTTGAAAATTTTCTACTTACCTAAAAGAGGGCTTTTCAGCTGGCTTCTCCGGCTCAGGTTTTGGATCGCTCAACACAGGAAACGATGTCTCTTCAAATGAATAAGCTGATCCTCCACTTTGAGAAGACATCTGAAGCAATCGCAAATCATAAATTATACGCAGGAAGGGCCAATTTACTTTGCGATCGGTATGACTTTCACTACTTGGCTCACTATCTACTTCCCAACGACGATTCGCTCGGCTACTACTTCCACCAGAAGAAGCTGTTAAGAGATCTTGATGACTACTGCTTCCTGACTGAGTCGATCGATTGGTATGAACAGTGGGAGTGTTGTTACTGTGAGAAACGTTTGATGTTACAGAAACTTCTTGATGACTCGATTTCCGAAAGCTGTTATATCGAGGTCTTAATATCATAATTGCATAACATAAAAACCAATCACTCATACCTTTCTATATGTGTTTGGTTAATATCAGACATAGAAGTTAAATCCCCCGTTGATACACTCAGGGTTGGTACATTATTGTTGGAATGATTGTTTCCATTCCAATACTCGGTTGGACCTCTCCGATGATAATCGTGATTCCCACCGTTGGCTCCACCATTTCTTCTACCACCTAAAACTAAAGCTTACAGAAAAACTTATTTATTATCCTACCTTTTAAGTTCTTCACAGGAATAGGTTTACCATGATGTAAACGATCACCTCTTCTACCATGAGAGGCAGCATGATTACTAGAAGAGAAGGACGAGTTCCGTCCATTAGAGGGATGTCCGTTTGACATAGAGACAGGACCACGATGGTCTCTTCCTGTTAGTCCTCTTCGTTCGTTTGCGTGATACACAGCTGATGTTCCGTTCATATAACTCCCTCCATTAGAATATGAATAATAGTTGTTTGAGTTATAATTATTTCGACCTATCAAGTTATTCTGTTTACTACGGGCATCTTGATTTTCTAAGTACCTCGAGGAGATAAATGATTACGATGCGTGTTGGCAGCGCGAGTGGTTGGCACCACATGCGTGTTCACGTCTGTGTTCTCATTTTCTTCTACATGTAATAAAGCTGTTCCTGGACGGAACGTTGCTTTAGCCACGTAACCAACTGAGTGCAAGACTTGGCCTAATTCAAGGTACGGTTTCAGTTCAGGTTCATTGGAATTAAGATCAGCAGGAGCTACCTGAGAAATGGATAGTATACTCATGATAAAAGTCTTTCAAATTAACCTGTCCAGTAGGAACGATATGCTTTTGTTTGTTCGGCGCTACCGTTTCAGCAGCAGCAGCAGGAGCCACACCCGTTTTGATTCTAGCCTGAAACTCGAAGCATAAATTTGAACACTCAAAGCTTGGTCTGTGTAATTTATAATAACATCAAATTGCTGGTTGATGTTAAGTTTGCTAGCCGTAATGTTAAAAAAGAGTGAAAGTGGTTCTTACACAAACTGGACGATTGTTGAAAGTCACTTCCAGGTTCTGAAGATGAAGGTAAGCCGTCTGAGTAGTTTCTTCGTCCTTATATGTAACATACCAACTATTATTTAGGCCATACTTCAGATCTAAATATAGCGGTCCTTCAGATAGCATTTTCTCAACATCCTTAAACATCATATATAACTTAAGAAAATTGAGAAATCGAAACCTCTCTATGATCTTCTCCAATTTCTCTAAGAATTAATGTACATCGCCTGCTCAGAGGTCGAACTCTTTCTCCTCGTTCATCAACTTCTAACTGATTAGATTCTAAATAGTGCGAATTCAGCAAATTTCGATTAATAAATCAATTTTTTACCTTTCAGAACTTGAACAATCAAATCGTAATCATCAGTTAAACGAACAACTTTACGGAATCCAGCAACTATTGAAATTTGGACATACTGATCTTGATCCATCTGGCAACGTAAAAATTTGTCATTTATTAGATTTTCGCTGAAAAAACAATTAATATAGAAAAAAGAATAGGTTGTATTGAACTATACCGTGAGAAGTAATATTCTAATTGAGCTTTTAATTGTTTTTTTCTTTCTTCCATTGTCAAACAAGGTGGAGGTGCAGGAGATGGTGTGGACGGTGGCGGTGGTGCTTGGTTGACTGGGACGGTCAAACCGTTGCCCATATCACAGTTTATCAGATTATTCCTACATTCTTCCGTGAACCTAGAATATTGAATGAAAAATATAAAAGCAAACAACTGTCTATACCAATAAGGTAGTAAAGGTGGCGGCGGAGCACTAGCTAAAGAAGTTTTTTCCAAATCACCTCCTACAACGCGTTCTATTTGTGTACGATCGATTTGAATAGCCTGAAAAAGAATAAATATTATAATATTTATATAAACTATCATAAAATATGTTTTTGAATAAATGAAAAACTATAATCCCATTTAATACTAACGAGTCAATGATAATTACGTTTTTGAAACAAACTAAACAACATGCATAATTGGATAAAGAAGAGCACAAAGACTCAAATGAAACTAATATGGATGGAAAAGCTAAGACATATAAGCACAGTAATACTTTTCATTCTACTTCATCTCCTTTTATGTATATTTATTCATGAGAACTGCAATCAATAACAATTCAAAGCACACTTCTTGTTTTTCCTCTCCTCTTTTTTTTCTCATTCACTTAATCCCATTTTCATTAACGTTAACATTCGTAAATTCTGTTCTTCATATACGTCTGCTTATGTTGACAAACAAGCTCTGCTCTCCCTCTATTCTTTTTCCCTTCTTTACCTCCATTCTTTTAATAAAAGAAAAAGAGAGGGAGAGAGAGAAAGATAGAGAGGGAGCGTGTGAAATCAGTTTGAGCAAGTGCATAAATAGCCCTTCTGCCCCCCCTCAAAACTGCTTAAATGCATTTTTACACCAAATATATTCATTTCAGCAGCTTTCAGAAACTCTAATTAGAATTATTTTATTTTTAAAATAATTTGCATACGGACATTCCACGTGCACGTGAAAATATCACGCAAATAAGCTGCGAATAGAATCATTTCGTCGTCATAGTTCCCACAGAGCGGTTGCTTTTCTTCGTTTCATCAAAATACAAAGTTTATATCAGAAACGAAATGAAAATTGTTTTTGATGGATTTTTAAATGAAAATAATAATTTATAACTCAAGTTCATCATTCCTATTTCAATGAAAGCTAACTGACAATTAGTCATCCAATACTTCTAATGTTGATGAGTTTATGAATCGATTTCGAAGCTTTTTAATTAACATCTTTTTTTAATTAATGAAGCATATATAATATCGTCACACACACACACACACACATATACACATCTATCCATCTATCCATCTATCTATGTATGAATACAATTGGCTTGTGGTTCCCTGTTAGTGTGTGTGAGTGTGAGTATCTGTGTGTGTGTGTGTATGTGAGTGAGTGTGTATGTGTATGGACATATCTTTACTCTTTTATCGTCAAATTATCTTCAAAGTAATTTATGCGTAGGTGGTTAAAATTTCTTTTAAACTAATTGTCTTTTTTACTTTCAGCCATACTTAGCTGATTCCCTTGATGAGCTGAACCAACTTCAGCTTTCGAAGCTTAATGAAATTGGAACACACGCACAAATATCGAAAAAGAAGACTCTTAAAGGGCATTTTGCCAATTGCAAATGACGTTGATTTCTTTGTTTAACATCACGATCAATGAACTTCTTCTTCTTCTTCTTCTTCATCTTCATTTTCTTTTTCAAAAAAATTCAAGAATGATTCCCTCTTGAAGGCCAAAAAAAACATCAAATTTCGTGACATTCAGATGTAGTCATTCTAATGGTCCCGTCATAGCAGACCTTTTTCTATTCTTCAGTTCCTTCACTGGAAGAATCAATTGGTCATGGGCGTAGTTAATGACGTCATGTAGAAGAAGAGGAATACCATGAAGCATATAGTGTTGGCTTACTCCTTTCCTCTTTCCTATCTCTCTTACTCTCTTTATCTTTCTTTCTCTAACTCTCTCAATCTGCATCTCTGTTCTCTTGGAACTCTCACATGCTTTCCATTTATCTGTTGCTAAAGGAAAGATGAAGAACAGAGAGAAAGAGAGAGAGAGAGAGAGAAAGAGAGTGAAGAGTTTTCAATAAAAATTAGAAACAAAGATTCTTATTGTTGTTGTTCATCAGATGGTCGTTTGTCAGTTAGTGTCATCTGCTTTTCTAAAGTTGTTCAATAATTGTTCCAAACGTGCTTAATCATCAAATGTGTTCAATGAAGTCACGAGATGCCGGAAGATAGTAGCCAAGCATGAAAGCATCTGGCAACCAGCTGAGAGAGAGAGGAATCTTTTTCATCTTCTTCTTTTTCTTCCTTCATCATCATTCACTATTTGCTCATTGGTAATTTTAAAAAATTTGCTTACGTCCTCATCACGTCCGAAAGAGAGATTTCAGAAGGAAACACAAGCCATGTGAACCTTTTCCTTCTCATCTCAATTCATTTTTTATTCATCTTCTTCAGTTCTATGACTTTTCTCTCTCTTCGAAAAATGCGTGAAGCTCCAAAGGGGGGCGTAGGCGTTAAGAACCAACAAAAAAACTCTTTCGTCATTGATTTTTTTCTTATTCAGCCCTCCCTCCTCTTCTCTCTCTCTCTCTTTCCCTCTCTCTATCTTACAGCCTTCCCCCTTTCAATGGATTTTAATAATTAGCTGAATTAAAATGAATAAAACGATCAAAAAAAGCCTTATTCGTCAAATGACATCATTGTATTCATGGATTTCAGCCCTATTTTAAGGGGGAAGGAGACGAGAGAGAGGGAAGGATGGAGGGAAAGGGAGTGAGGGGGGGGGGGAGCACGACAGAAGGAGGGTATGTGATGAAAAGTCCGAAATGTGATGCCATATATATGAACATCGTAGGCTTCAGAAGCCATTTAATTATTGATCCCATTTCCGAGAAGTCAACTGACAGGTTACATTCTCCTTCCCTTTTTCTGCTTTCAAACGATAGCCATATAGTGGCTTGCCTTTAATAGACCAACAAAAAAAAAGCTGAAGAAAGCTCCCCAAAATACTATAAAACCTCTTTAATCGAAATCAAAAAAACCCGAAAAGGGATGATGGGAGGTGGACGAAAGAGGGACAGTGGAAGTGTGTGAGAGGGAATCCAGGCATAGATAGCCAAAGAATGAAAATTCTATTGAAAGAAAACTTCTTTTTAAGGATAATCCATAAAAAAGGACAATCTCTCTCTCTCTCTCTCTCTCAACTGATACTTATATGTATTGGTTGAAGAAAAATAAAATTTTGAGACGAGGAAGATGAGAGTGAACGTACGAACGAACGATGATCTTGCTGACGACAAACGAGACAACGACGAACGACGAAGGAATGCAAATGAAAAACTCAAATTTTCCATCACTTTTCATTTTTCTTCCTTTTCTTTTTTTCAAAATCAAAAATCACATGTTTTTGATTTTTCGAAGAATATTGACGAATCCCCTTCTCATGAAAATACATTGACAGCAAATGCAAATTCTTTCAAAAATGATAAGAAAAAAGGGAGGAAAGACGATAAGGAAATATAAAAATCAAAAATGCTAATTGATAAAGCTTAGCGGGTATCATGGAGCATCAGCTGATTGTCCGAAACGAACAACGATAAACCAAAATTGAAAATATAGACATAGAGAGTGGACTGTTTTTGATGTTCTCTTTTTCTCTTCTCTCTCTCTACTTTTACTTCTTCACTTATCTCTCTCTTTCAGTCTATCAGTACCATTTTATATAGTTGAGGTAAAGAGAGATTGAGGGTGTAGAAGAGGGGGCGAGATGAAAAATAAAAAATTCTTCATCTAATTGTGCCATGAATGATTCATGAACGAATTCCATCATTATCATAATAGCCTTATATGAATATTTTCAAAATAATGGCCCATTTTGAGGAATTTTTTTTTCTCGAAATTCTTAGTCATAACGACGACAACGGCGACGACGACGACGACGACGGCGACGACGACAGGAACGACGACGACAATAGCTTTCTTTCTCACAGCGTTTCTAATATAAGCTGAGGCTTCCTCTCTCTCTCTCTCTTTGGCTGACGAGAAAAAACATTTACAAAGACGTTCTTTTTTAGATTTTTCACAATCGAAACTTAGGCTTTTGCTAAAGAAAAGACATGACGTGACCTCTCGAACATGGATAAAGAGGGATTAATCTCTCTCTCTTTCTCTCTGTGTGTATCCCTCCTCTCTCGCCACTCTCTTTCTCATTTTCTCATTTTCAACACAAAAAAAAAGAATTTCCTTCAGTAGGAATTTTTTTTTTCAACCAAATATACCCAGGGTTTTTTTAATATGTTTATTTACAAAATAAACGAAATTTTCACCACAGGGACGTTGTGTGTGAAGCAAACAGCTCTCAATGCCCATTTTTAGCTTCTTCATCATCATCTTCTTCGTTCATTTTCCTCTTCTTTTTTTAGAAAAATGTAGTTTAGACGAGCAAAATGATTGAATGGGACGACGAAAGGAGAAGGAGAGGAGAGAAAGAGAAAGGAAGAGAAATAGATGAGAAGGAATAACACAATGACACCGATACATATATCAAGTTTGAATGAGTAAGCATGAGTAATAAAGCTTGCGCATCTTCGATAAGCAATTGCTTCTTCACAAATGTTAATAAGAATATAGATGAATTGGACGTACCTTCTGGACAACAAAACATCGCGGAGATACTTCTGTACAAATATAGAAAGCGTCATCGTCGAGTTCTAACGAAATCATCGCCGATGAACGGTTTGAAGCTGCAGAAGCGATGGCCGGCGACGATGACGGCGGCTTCAGCGCCCGGGGGCTACGGTAGACGAACGGTCGCTGACGCAGATTCTGCGACGGATGCGAGTGCCGGATCCGGAAAAAGGAAAGACATATGGCTTTGTAAGGAAGAAAAAAAACAAAAATATATATAAGAAACGTCTAAAACACAAGAAATGAAATGAACAGAATGAAGACGAAAGACGAGAAAGAGAAAGAGAGAAGAAAAAAATGGAGGGAGGGAAATGGATGGAGGCGGGAAAGTCTGTGGCAAGTTGGCGGAAGAAGTAGGGAAAGAACAGGGAAGGAGGGAGATGGCATGCTGAGCGTCTCCATCATACACACCCGAACATAGCAATCTGAAAAAGACATCGACGTCGACATCGTTGTCGCTGTCGTCGTTATCGTTGTGGCAGCAGCATACGCTGTGTCTATCGGATTCAGGATGCTTGCATGAGTTTTCCAAGAAAAGAAATGAAACATCTCGAGAATTCATAAGTAGAAAAGAGAAAAGAGAAAATGACATTTTCGAAAACGAAATTATCAGTGGACGGAAGGAGAAAGTGGTGGGGGGGGGACAGGAAAAAATAGAAAAAACGAGTAAAATAGCCTTGACAGGTGGTGATGAATGATGTTCAATGAAGTATTTCTAAAAATCATTATGTGATAACTTATAACAAAATAATATTATTTATATAGTTTATAAAGTAGTTATAATAATAATAATGACATCAGAATAAGACTGCATTGTCCATTTTCAATGAACTGAGGGGGTTGAGGATGAACGGGATGAAGCTGCTTGTAGAGCTGTGTGTATGTGTGTGTGTGTGTGTGTGTGTTTGGAAAGACCAAAATGAGGGGAGAGAGATATATATAGAGAGAGGGAGATATATAGAGAGAAAGACAGATAACAGATAAGTCTGTGTGAATGTAATAGCAAAGCAGTTAAGAGTAAGAGAAATACAGATATAGAGAGAGAGAGAGAGAGAGAAATTAGCCTTTTTAAAACATTCAATTTTTCCCTTTTTTTCTGTTTTATGGAAATGACGTACTTTATTGCGTTTGTTTCTCAAAAATGACCTTCTCACATTTGCATAAAAAGTCATATCAATTAAGTATATTTCCTTACATAGCCTTAAGGCAATATAAATATCGGTTGAATGACTTCCATGGCTTTTGACTTTCAAACACTCAGAGTAACAAACTCTCTCTCTCACTCTCTCTCTCTCTTTTTGTTGTTATCCTTCATCTCTTTTTCTCTTTATATATATACTCAATCCTTCTTTCTCTCTCTCCTTTTCATTCTTTTCCCTCCTTTATGCACCGAACCAACCCCACCATATCTGAGAGCTAAAGCAAAGGCTTCCGTGTGTCCAATCGCTCTCTTGTCTCCAAAACGACATGAAGAAGAGAGAGAGAGAGAGAGGGAGGGAGGGAGTGCTTTCAACAGAAAAAAAAGTGTCAATTGGTTGAACCATTTTTAATGGAAATTTACAAATTTCAAGACAAAACACAATAAAATCAATGAGCGAATAAAGAAAGATGTGAATTGAATGGCTGAAGATGTTTTAAGATGAAAAAAAAAAGTAAAAAAAGAGAAAAAAAAAAGAAAAAATGAGATGTGTCGATGTGATAAGACAGTCGATGCTTTTCAACACAAAAAAAAAATCAGCTGAGAATGCAAAGACAAATGGATGAAAAATTAAGAAAAAGACGGATAAAGGCAGAAGATAGAATGACGATGCGGTGGGAAAAACGTTTGAAAATGAGAATGAGGATGAACCAATGAGAGTGAGGGAATGTGAGTGTAGAGAGAGTTAGTGAGCACAGGAAAGAACACTGCCCCATCAAGGAAACAAACTTCAAATATGGAGAAAGAGTAAAAGGAAAACAACAATCATTAAAAGGTATCGGAACTATGGATGAGTAGTAGGTCCTTTCCGGAGAAGCAGCAGCAGTCACGGGTCGTTGAATGGATGTGTACGTGTGATGTGGTAGAAAAAGGGGGGGGGGGGTTGTGTATGCATGTATGTAGTTCTCTCTCATTCTCTCTCTCTTTCTTTATTTCTCTTTATATTTCCTTTTCTTTCATAGCCCCTATCATTATCTGTTACTCTCTTATATTTATTGCTTCTTTTGCTATTTTCTCTTACACTCTCTCTATTTCATGCTTATATGTTGAATCGCTGGTGCTGCCGATTGCGGCGCTTTGCCGCGGCAGCAGACGCCATGGACGCAGAGACCAGCGCCTCAGGGCATAAGCTGGGCCGAGAGAGAGACTCTCAATGAACTATTATAAAGAGATGAATTGAGATTAAATGTTAAAAGAAGATAAAATATAAAAAAAGAACAACTCATGACATATGCAAAGAACTGGCCAACTTGCACGGATGAACAGAAACGATAAAAATGAAAATGAAAATGATCTCCAAAAAGTATTCGTTAAGGTTTTTTTTTTTTTTTGAATTTCATCGCAAGAAACTGACTGAAACAACAAATAGTTGCTGACGTCATCTAGATAGCTTCTTCCTATGTACGCAAAAATGTAGATAATGTCATATATAGTAATGATAAGCAAGTAGAAAGTGACATAAAAGGCATCAATTGAATGAATAGAACGATTACCCTCCATACACATGAAGCTAGACTAACAAACCCTTCAGACTGTGCTATTGCCGTCTATACTGGATAAACAGCTGTTTTTCCTTCACTCTCTCTCTCTTTCTTTCTTTCTCCTACTACACCCATATATGAAAATTAGAGCTCTCAAACTAAAAAAAGGAGTGAATGAAGAATTCAAGACAGACTAAGTAACATACGTGAGTAAGCTTCTGAAGAGCACAAAATGAAAAGAAGAGGAAAAGAGTAAGCAGTAGTAGAGAAGGTGAAAAAACGTAAGAAAATGAAGACAAAAATGAGTGAATGAGTTTTTGAAGAAAAAAGAATAAAAACTGAAGCAAGAGTTCAAGGTAAGAAACAAAGAAATGACACTGTTTACCTCACAACATACTCTTACCATAGAAAGAAATGGGCAGTGAGCGAGAAAGCGAGAGGAGGGAGAGCGAGGTAGTTGGCTGTCAGAGGAGGAATGAAGTAGAGTGAAAGGGTTGTGAACGTGATGTAGAGGGTAAGAATGAAGAAGCAGAAGAAGCAGATGATGTTGAAGAAATAGAAGAAGAGGAAGAATGTAAATGAGTAAGCAGAAGTAGAAGAAGATAAAGATAATCTTGAGTAGAATGTCCGAATACTATCTGAGGGGTACTAAAACAGAGGTATGGAATGGGAGTGGAGGGAGAGTATACATATAGATCTAAAGAGTAAAAGAAAGCTATAGAGAGAGTAAAACTGAGAGAGAGAGAGAGAGAGTGAGAGAGATAGAGAGAAAAGGAAGTATATAACTAGGAAATGAAAAACTTTAAAGTACTTGTGTGCAACAAATGAATTTTAGTAATGCCCAAAATTGAAAAATGACTGACAAACTTGGCAAAATAGTTGAAATGACGTGTTTTGTTCGGTGAAGTTTCACTTTTTTCAATACAAAATACGTAAAAATATTTCTTTTTTTTTTCTTTTTTCTCTCTTTTTGTCTTCTTTTTTAAAACAATGTCATATATGGAATAAAGGAAGTTAGTTGAAAGCTTCGAAACAGACAAGAAAACGGAAGAATCGAACGACAAATCAAGCAAGCTGCTGGAAAACAATTTTTTTTTTTTTCAAATAATTTTCACAAAAATTCGTTTTCTTCTGTCCTTCTCTCTCTCTTTCTCTACCATTACCTTTCTTCGTTCTCTGTGTAGCTTGATCTACCAAGCAACTACATCTTCTCTCTTCCTCTCTCTCTGTAGCTTGCTCTCCTACTCTTCTGTGCATGTTGTTCTATGGTACAGAGACATTTCATATGTTTCCAAGTGTTTGAAAATCTATTTGATTTAACAAAAAAAAAAGAAACTTCATAGTTCATGACCATGTAGAGAGGAGGATAAACCTGGTTGATATACGTGGCAAATCCTCTCTATATAGTAACTAATCAATGATTGATCGTTGCTAGTGCGGTAAGGTTAATTGCAAATAATAATATTGAAAATGATGTCATATTCTTAGGGAGAGAGAGAGAGAGAGGATGATCAGTTGAAAGCTTTTTTTAGGAAAAACGAATAAGTCATAAACACCATTTGAAAATAAACCAATTTGTTCAAATAAAACAAAAAAGAAAAAATGAAATTTCTATGTATCGAATGACTCATTTGAGCACTAACTCTTCTCACTCTCTCTCTCTCTCTCTCTTTCTTTTTTGAAACATTTTTTCCTTTTTTAGATGACACAAAAATATCCTTGCAAGAGAGATGAGCAAAATCTAAATTGGGCATTAACAGAATTATAATTTTAATATAATTTGTGGATGAATCAAACAAGACGAAGCTCACTAATGAGAAGCTGCTGAGGCGAGAAGAAGAAGACGAAGATGTAGGCGAAGAAGAAGAATTTCAAAGACTTTCTTTCTATTCTACTTCATTTTAATGAAAAACATTCACAAAATAATCAAAAAAACAACTTCTTTTTCATGTAATTTAATAAAGAACAGACTATGAAGAAGACGTCGACGATCACAACGTCGTACGAACACGAAGACATCGACCACCGACGACAACGAGGATGACGACGACAAAGCTGCCGAGACAACGGCGACAATGACAACCACGGATGCAGCTTTCATTAAATAGAAAATGCAAATTAAAATCATTCACGTCATACGTGAAAGACGAAACACACACGAATATGTTGTTTTTCACGTTATTTCGAAAAAGAAGAAGCATGCAGAGCGGTTGCATTTCTGGTCCTTCTCGCATTTCTTCTCATTTCGTCTCTCTCAATATCTTATTTTAATTCTCTTTTATATTTATTCATTCCAAACCTTTATTCAACATTTTTATATCGAAAACAGACAAAGAACATACCAAAGAATGAATAAAATTGAAATCATTAGGATTTTCAAAATGAAATATTTCAATTTACTATCTAGTTGATACTCAAAGAAGTTAGTTTCATCATCTTTAAAGGTATTCTTCATTCTCTAACCATCTAACTCTCTTCCTATATATATCTCTCTCTCTCTACCTTTTACTGATACAACTAATGCGTTCAACAAAAATAAAAAAAAAAGTTCGAAAGATTTCAGAAAATGTGAGAATAAACAGTTAAAATTGGAAAACAATTCGAAGAAAAAACTTCCTTCTGCACCTCTCTCGCTCCCCCCTTTCTACCATCGTCAAGAACAGGATTCTATTCTAAACGTTATCAGATGCGATTTCAAAGATATAAATTGGTAGTTTGGAAATATTAAAAAATAAATCCAACACAGTTGGTATGAGCCATATGTGTCTGATAGAGGACAATGATCATCAAATTCATTGGCTCATTGTTGATAAGTGGCGATCAGGATGGATTATCATTTTAATCATAATAAAAGTGAAAATCACATAAACATTGCATACAGAGCTAATGAGACAATAACAAATATCCTTTCAAATCAATGTATTCTCCATTGTCAATGCAATACTTTCAGTGACTGTTTATTTATAAAATGCATAAAATTATTTTGAATCTCTAAAATAAATTTTCCTTTCCATCTATCTATCTCTCCCTCTCTCTCTCTCTTTCTCTTTCATCTATGCGATTCGTTGTTCTGTAATCACACATCGCGCTCCAACACGAATAGGCGCAAAACATTTTTTTTTCTTTTTTCAGTCTCCAGCATGCATTCTTCCACATTCGAGAACTTGGAACTTCTCCATTATCCTCACTGCCGACATTTTTTAATCATAGGGTTCGTATTCACATTCATTCCGCTTCGTTATGGAAACGTCATGCATTTTTCTGCAGCTTACTCTCAAATTTTGTTAAGAATGTCATAAGAAACTACTTGATCGAATGATATCCTATGGCATTCTTACACTTTTGAAAAACATTATAATTGAGAACGTCAAGGGAGGAATGTCAAATGTATTGACTTGAGAGCACAGCTTTCAAGGAAATTTATGGGAAAACACCTACGAGAGGCGATCATACGACAACCCTCACAGATATAAAAAGAACGAAAAGAATCATAATGAATACATTCGGAAACTGTTTTTAAGAACTGCTTTGCTAAGCACGCTGAATCATCCAAGAAAAATATTAAACAATTCAACTTCTACGCGGAAAAAGAATGGCCCAAGATCATATCAATCTGCTAAGCCGTATGCTTTGTTCAGAAAGCCCGGCTGGACTGTCGCGCCTGAGACCTCGACAGAACCTCCCTGACTGGGACGGCATGTCTAACATGTACGCTGTTTACCATCGTAACGGTTTAGCGCGTTTTCCTCTTGTAGACTCGAGGATTCTTCGACTGAATGATACTTTACGATACTTTGTTCCTTTTCTTCAACATGTAAACTTATTTATTTTCGTTTTCTCTTTATGTTTATAACACCTCTCGTTCTCTATTAATCTATCACTTCTTTGCAGTATCATTTAATCGAATCAAGCTACATGGAGCCAGTGAAGGCTAGTTCAAATACGAAAGGACGAACACAATTAGTCAAAGTTGAAAAAAAGCCGTAAGAATTGAGAGAACAATAAGTAGAAAGGAACATATTTGTAGGATTGGGTTTTCGATTAAGCGACGAGCTCCAGAAGATTGGAGTCCAGTTAAACGTCCGAAAAAGAGAGCGCCAAGGCCTGTGGAGCTAGAAGAGGATGTTTGTTAATTTAATTTATTTATGAATTTATTGGAAGTGCTCGTAGAATGAAAAACTAACGCCTATCCTGAAGCAAGCAGGGGAAGAAGGAAAAGCCTCCCCTACGAAGGCGGTATCTATTTTAGGATTGCTCATGCTGCTGAATGAAATATTACGTTTAGGTATCATTTTCGCCGAAAAAGTCAATTCGAATTATTCCGAGCCATAAATCTCCTGCTCGAGTAAACCCACCTCGATCTCCTTTGAAGAAATTACTCACAGTTAGTTTCAAAAAGTAATTTGCATATCAAATGAATTATACGAAGCAGAATAACCACGACTCGCCTTTTCGATCCCTGTTTGACACACCGGAAAAAGGTTTTCAGCCTACTTAGTTCGAATGAATTATCATTAATAATTACAGACACTGAATCGCCCTTATCTACTTTAGTTCTAAGAAAGGCTTCGTTTGAAACGCCTCCGAAAAGTCCGTCTCGAAGCCTCAAATCTCCCCGGAAGCCTATTCAGAGAGAGATATGTATAAAGGTTTGTAATCACATTAATGAATAATTAAATATGTAGTTAGAATGTGGAACAGCTTTTAATGCCCACGCCTGAAAAGAAGCCAAAGGAGGAATTAGAGGCTTTTCCTGCAGCACAGGTTGTAGTAAATGAAGATGGAACGGAAACAAAAATTAGAAAGTTAGAAATTTTGAAAAAAACTCTTGAAGAATGTAAACTATTTAACTTAAGGGTCTACGAAGGCATAAGAAAGAAGAAGGATGAAAACTTTGTCAAAATAAATATGCGAAAGAAGAGCTTTGTTCGAGGAAAAGTAACAGCTGAACAGAAACGAAAAATGGCCCGCAAAATGAAATGGAAAAAGCGATTCGCCAAATAAATACTAACATATCTCTAAACATATATTACTTTATGTTTAATTTTAATTCCATATCCAGATTAATAGCTCTTATTCTATTTGAATGACAATTCCATAACAGGAGTTGTCTAATAACATTCTCATTTGATACCTGTGATCACACTGACATCTCATTCGTTGATAATAATGATTCTTCTCTCTCCCTCATTCTTTCTCTCTATCTATCTCTCTGTTAGCTTTACAGAACCACATGCTCACATACTGACCACATTATGCTTACGTAAAGAAGAGATCGCGAGCGCTAAACGTTATTCGTTGAATAAAAATCATATACTCAATTCAATTTGTTATACTTAATAATGAATATTTAAACTCATTTCTGAAGGAGCATTTGCTACAAGTCCTTAAACGTCATTCAGATGGCAACCAACCGCTTTATGCGTCTGCATCAATTAAAATGAAAATTCAAAGTTCACTCTCCTCAATGGCCAGATTAAGAGTAAGACTGAAGATCGGTCAACGACAAAAATAATTTGTAGTCTGTCTGACACATAATGTTGTTCTTATAATGTAAACTAATTAATTACAAATAGTTTAATATACGGAATTGTATGAATATTGGGGAGGAAACATCACAATTTCAGCCTAAATAACACAGATAGGAAAGGAACTTTCTCATATAAAAGCCGATTTCCGATAAAAATCTGGGTAATTTATAGTAATTTAAAGAAATAAAATATTAATTTTTTCTGCATTCTTGCATAATCATGTAAACTATATGTAATAGTTTAGAAAAATATAAAAATCTTTAGTATGAAGCTGGGAGAGGGAAGGATGAAGGGGGGGGGGGATGTAGGAGATGAAACACACATACACACACACACATGGAGAAAGAGACAGAAATGAAGGATTAATCGGCAAGAAGCTATCTATAACGAGCAAGATGACACTAACTATCTTGTCTTTTGAAATATAAAAATAAAAAAAGATTTTTCTTCATGGAGAAAGCCAATTGAGAGTTGGTTGGTAATAACAACTAGATTGAAAGGATTAATCCTTCTTAGGTAAGTGGCATCTTTTCACGGAAACCATCAACATCGTCTAAAGCTGGAGCTTGTGGAGTTTCTCGGCTGTTCTATAAGCACATCATTATGAGAGGTTGGCTTGCGATAGATAAGACACTTACAGCTTTTTCATCTTCCAAAAAGCGTCCCCAAAGTGTTGCCACTAGATCTGTGGTTATGATATCACCAGCATTCTTTGAAATAAGATGAGTTAAGAATACTCCATCGCATCTAAGACCCTGAGAAACGAATTTGTTCAAAGTTCTTTCGCCTGTAAAGGAAGAGTTCATTAGCTTAACAGTCAGAGTTGATAACATACTTGATCTATCGTCATCCTCAACCAAACGGAAGACTTTAAGGTAAGTGGCGATGTAACTACGACGCTTATCCTCACTGAGAAGTTGGGAAACCCAATATAACAAGTTGCAAGCAGTGTACATGGCAACACCAAGAAGCCAGAACCATAAGAAGAGGTAGACCTAATTATGGATATGTATATTCCCTTCAAACTATCTTTCGTCTCTTACTTTTTCATTGAACATGTTGATCATCAAAACGCATTGAACAACGTGATTATGCTTGGCACCAAGTACACGAACTTCAAAGTCACACATCGTTACCCTGCAAAGCATTTCGTATGTCAGAAAATAAAAGGAAAAAGTTGTATTTTGAACAGGTTTTCGTAATCATCATCATCATCCCAAAATGAGATGATTGTTAATGGAGTAATGCCTATAAAGGGTTTTAATTCGAACAATGATAAAAGGATTCGTATTTTCTTTCTCATGAAATCCATTTTTGGTTACACAATAATTAGTTTTTAAACTGTTTTTTTTTGAGGACGTGAAACATGCTGTTGTGCCTTTCTCCCTTCACACTAAACGATTTCTTCTCCTCGTTCATCTTCATCCATCTTCTTCCTCACCTTGCATGCAAACGACAAATATTCTTTTGTTATAGTAAACGCCAATAAATACATAAATCTATTCAATTCTGATGACTTTCAAATAAAAACTTTAAGTGTTACTTGTATTTTCGCTTCTTCTCTCCCCTCTACTCACCTTGGGAAATGTCCGCTCTCTTGCCATTCACGACCATGCATCAAATCTGATAATATGCCGAATCCCCAGAAGGTGTATGATGTTGAAAGGAAGCTGTAATTACATGGTTAATATCCTGCGAAATGAATACTGTATTCTCACTTGTTAAGAATGATGAATTGCATTGCAACCTGAATGAGGTACAATACTTTCACAAAAAGATATAAGCTTGTCAAGAAAGCTCCCTTGTGAACAAATGATCCTAAGCGGCCTGCAAAACATATCAGTCAGTCAACTAGCCCATGCTAACTGTATATTTGAATATAGTAAGAGTTTTCACGTAATTTTCACGTGCTTATCGTATGTGCCGTGAAGCTCTGTCATTATTTGCTTCAATCAGCACTGAACGGTTGCCAATATCATTGTAACTCACTAATTCTTTCTAATTTCTGTTGTGTACGAAGAGAATCGTGAATGTGAGCTCCAACAACAGCTACAGAATCCTTTCTTCGTTGAACTTGCATATTGCTTGTATCTCTAGCCATCATTACAATAGACTTGACGGCAATACCTTTAACGGATTATAGTAATGAATGATAATATGCTAATTAGCATACCGCTTTGCCAATTGAAGAACCTCCATACTAAAGCTGGAAGATAGAAGAGAATAGCTTGGATTCCTAAGATGAATGGCACCCACTGGTAATAACCTTAAACAATATTCAGATTATTGATTGATTCTGTGTATTCCTTTCATTTCATGCATTTTCAAAGATCAAGTAATCCATTTTTACACTAAATTACAACCCATAAACTGACCGCAATAATAGATGTCCTTTTAGGGTTATGTTCACCTTTTTCCACAAATCATCTCTCTTTCATTCACATTTTTATCGTCAAAATCCTCATTATGAATACGAAACGATTGTCATTATGTGTGTATCGGACCTTTAATTCCATTCAAAATGATGATCAGAATGCCAAATGACATGAATATTCCAAATAAATAATAAACAATATAATATATTTACTTTAAATACTTTAACTTTCTAATGTCTAATAGGTATATCTTATGAGTAACTTCAATCTCTTTTTGATCTATTCTCCTTTCATTTGATCTACTCTCTCTCTCTCCTTCTCTCTATAAATATTCTCTCCTCCCACACATCTTTCTCTCTCTCTATTTTTATCTCAACGTTCACATGTCAATTGAAATCGTTTCAAAGTATAATTTCTATGTTAAAAGAAGGGGAATGAAGATGACAACGTCTTAATCCCTATCCCATCAAGTTGTTGTCATCTCAAATTATAAAAATTTTCTTTTTTTTTTCAATTATAATGTGACCTTTTAGATATTTCTTTGGAGATTATCTAAGTGATTAGTTTTTTGACCTTTTGCAGAGGTGCAGACAGGGAGAGGGGGGGTTGTAGACAGAAGAACAAGAGGAACGAAACAGAGAGGATTTGTGATGGTCGAGGTAGCTGTGATGGTGGTGAACATCAAAACTTGTCAAATCAAATAAAAATAAGAAAAGATGATGATATTGAATTGAATGGGAATGTATTCATGTGGAAACATTCTAAGGTTGTCAACAAAATTTTCACAAAAACTAACCAAGTTCAGTTGATTCTCGTTCAGCAGTCGAGTCAGGGATATAAGCATCAGGTCGAACAAAGTACGTATTTTGAACAAAACAATAATTCTCACTATATTGTTCCCAAGCACCTTAAATGGTTATATATATGTATAATATAATGTAATTTATTGTTTTTCTTCCATAATTGGCATATGCATTAATGAGATTTATGAAACTGACCAGTAAACTGTGCTGGAATCCAACATTGAATTGGCTGACCCACATATCTAAAAATATAACAAGTTGGTCCCCAGTATGTTCAATTCAACTAATAATATACTTTACTTTTCTAGTTTATACAGAAATATGGAGGCAAAAGAAGAGAAAGAGAGGTTAACAATTCCAGTTTTGCCGTACAGTTCCATAAGAGACAAGTGATGGAACATTTGGACATAAAAATGTCCGGCAAATCAGAGATCATCTGATCAAAGCCAAACCTCCAGAAACATTTGACTTGCTCTTCCAACCATATTTGAATTTTCCGTGAACAAATAAGAAAATTGAATGAAGTTGAGCAAAAATGCAAAGGTAAATGGCCTGGATGTAAAGAGACAGCGAAATGCAGGCATTGAAAGAAGGAGAGAGAGAGAAAACGAATAGAGAGGGAAAATTGACGAATGAATTTGTCTTCAGCATGTATCAAACACTTGAAAACGTCTTTCGTTTTCTTCTTTCGGTAATGTCTGATGGCAAACAGTGTTCTTTGAAGAAAATATCTTTTGTGTTGTCGCAGCAGACATATGAGAGTTCATGAGGAAATTAGTTGAAATTTGAATTTTGAAGAGAAGAGCCCTAACATCAATTTTGTTTTTGATAGAATATCTTTATAGAAGTGAAAGTCATTAGCTTTTTCTTGATTCGTCCCCGCTCTCACACTCGCGTCATGCAATTTTACCTCAAAGAGGAAATGTCTTGGAGGCGCTATTCTCTCATTCTCTCTACGTCAAAGTCATTCCCTTGTTCTTTTGGTCTCTCTTTCCTCTATTGTTTTGTATATATTGAACATACTATTTCCAATTATCTTATTGCCTCTCTTTTCCTTCCTTAAAAGCGGCCTCCATCGATTCTAATCTTGATCGTGTGATCGTCCTTGGACCATATATGGCAAGCCGATGAAGGAAAAACCACACACACACACGTCAAGGCACACCTTTAACCTTTTAGAAAGAAGATTGAGGAAAAGAAGAGATAAGATGGAAGAGTGAGCTTCTAAACAATGGCATGATGGATCAACTGATCTTGTCCGGAGATCATCTTTGGAACAAATTGTTCGAAAAAAAAAGGGAAGAGAAAGAAAAGAATTGTTGCACCCATGAAAGGGCAAAAATCAAGCCACACAGGAGTAAATTCAAATTTGAGTTCGTTTTGTTCATCAAATGACATATAAGTAACATCTGCTGAAATTTCAAAAAGGGCTTGTGGATGGCAGAATATTCAATGACCAGCTGAGTAACAGCTTGTAAAAATGAAAATTTCATTTCTTTATAAGAATTATGCATTCGTTACTGCCTTTCTTGCCATCATAGCTCAATCCATTCCGATTTACTCACTCTCTCTCTCTTCATCCATCTCTGCGTCATCGTTTCCCTCCCTACCCATCCTCCCTCATCTTCAAAACTATTTTTGTCTGCAAAATTGATCAAACTAATTCATATGCGAATTATCAGCATCGATCATCATCGGAGCTCATTGTCAATTCAATGAATATTCCCTGAATCTTCCTAATTCAATGATGAACAGATCATTCGAGCAACAAAAGTTTTGTTTCGGACGGAAAGAAAAAAAAAGAAAATTAAAATTAAAAAGCTGCGATGATCATAATTGAAAAGAACAAAAAGACGACATAAAAGGGCAAATTTAATGTTTTTGCTTCTTTTTTTTTCCTCACAGAATTTTGTTTTTTTTTATCCAAGATTAGAGAGGGAGAGACCGAGAGAGAGAGAAGTCAGCGATAGAGAAAGAGGAAAAGGGAAGAGGAGAAAGCGTGAGTTAGAGACTGTCACTTCATGAAAACGATGAGTCAATTATTTAAAGATCAATTGAAATAGAGACAAATGTAAAAAAATTGTTTTAAAAAAAATCAAACAAAAGACTTACTGCTTAGCCGATAGTGTTAATGAGAATATTACAAGAAGCATTGGAGTGTAGTAGTAATTAAGACGATCACAGCCATCATCATCAAATTGAGGCTTTAAGCCTTTTAGAAACGCATCCAGAAAGAACATTCTTTAACGTTTACAACTTCTGATTTATATTCTATGCTGGTGTGTATCGTCAAATCGTCGTCGTTTTTGTGATGTCGTCAGTTGCTGCTGTGAATGCTTCTAGCAGTCAACCTGAAGATGAATATACCATATAATCAACAACATATGCAAATTATATATAAATAGTAAGGTAAAATGAGAAAACTATCAAGAAAATCAGAAAATGAAAATGTTTATCAGAACATTTGTGTCCTTAAAAAGACTATGCACATACATTCACAGAATATGGATTCAATCGTTACAGTAGCCATAGACCGTCCCAAAGTAAAGGAATTGAAATAAAGAGAAAGAGAAAAAGAGAGAAAAATACGGAAAGGGACAAACACGCAGATTCAGAGAGAGAGAGAGAGGGACAACGAATAGGGTGGGGGGGGGACACTACCTACCAGCCGGACGTCGTGGTTGTAGACTGTCGAGGCCTGACTGTATGACTGTCACTGCCCTCTTACTATCTTATGTCATTCTGACTTCTCTAAATCTCTTCATCTAGAATGATTTTTTCGTGTAACCGTATAAACTCCACCCACTGTCTGATTATTATGTAGAATGTTCTGTCATCTCTTGTCATCCTATAATCTCTCTACATGGACTATCGTTGTCTGGACTGTCGGAGAAAGTATGCAAAAAGAACGAAACAGTACGTGTATTTTGAATAGCATGAAACGAACGATGCAGCATCATCAGGCATCAATCGAGAGCTGATGAAACGGAGAAATAAAAATCAGCAGAACGTCAAGGACAAATCTATTTATTATCGTAAAACATGACAGCTACTAATCACGAATAATCTCCTATAAACTTCTTTAAATAAATGTTTCAAACAGTTATCATCAATGATAGTTATGATGTTGCAAATACATCAGCCATGACATGATGTGCATGCTGTATACGAATATGATGAAATGATTAAGAATAGTAAACAGCTGATGAAATTATGTTTTAACAATATTAGCCGGAAGTATAAATATAAATATAAAATGAAGATGTACTCTTCTAATTAAAATCTTATTTGATAGAAAAATGAGATAATGACAGCAGAATGAAGATGTGCTATTACTAAGAGCGTCCAATTGAAAATTTTTGTTTCGAAAAAATATGAAAAAGTGTTTTGGGAGGTCTATCTTCATATATCATCTTAAATAATATGAAATTGAAACAAAAATTGAATGAAAAAACAAATTTGATGAAACAAAAATTCGAAATAGAAAGATAGGAATGGGTAAGAGGAAAGTTGGGGGGGGGGGATGAATTGAATGATGATGATGATGATTATTCAGTAATCACTTGTTAGATGCGTATAAAACAGAATCACAGATGAGAAACTTTGTACAAAAAAGTTTCTGTTGTTAAGTTATATAGAAATCTGCCTAACGTAGAAAAAATAATATTTTTAAAGATATAAACTTTAAAAGCGGAACATCTTTGATGTATGTGTGATTTCTATTATCGTTCTCAATCATTACAGCTCACTATCGCTTATTTTGCGTTGTTTCATCAGAAGTGGCTCTGAATATGGTGGTGGACGTTCCCCACGTGATTTCACAAACTCATCCCATAATGTCTTCAGTAATGCACATGTAACCATATCGCCTTGATTATCAGCTGAAAAGAAAGCAATTAGCATAAGTGTTATACGTCGGCAGATCTTGATGCCATTAAATGCATTTTGTTTTTTTCATTTCTATGGTTGATGGGCGCGATGAACGGTTGTGCATTCTTCATACACCGGCAAAGATTGAATTAACCGCAACCCGCTATTCGCTTCCTTTTATTTTCATTGTTTCCGTCTCGTCCAAAAAAATGTTTCATTCAATAACCTTCCAAAGAATAGCGATAAAAGGAGGACACTTTGTCTTTTATAGTTAAGTTCTTGTCGCTGTCTCTATTGGAGCCACAATAACACTAGGCCAGCTGTTGTCAGTTAAAGAATTTTCGCTTGAATTCTGTACTTTGAAGACATTTATGCAGAATTATTCTTCTCATACTTCATTCCTTAATATATCCTTCATTTTTGTGTATCTTCTTCACAATCGGATATGTTCAGTCATTCAGAAAAATCTCGCACATGTCCTCCACATGACAATCCTTTTACGGCAATCGAAAAGGAGTTATTGGCATTGAAGAAACGAAAGGACGGATGGATGACCTGAACGATCATCATCTCCTTGACTTGACAATTCGTCTTGACTCCTCTGCCCTCTTCTTTTTATTTTCATCTTCTCGTCAACCTTTCTCATTCTAATTATCCTAAATGTATTTGGAGACGAACAGACAAATACATTTCGATTGTTCCAATCATTATTTGACCTTTTCAACTATGAGAAAAAAAAAGAAATTAAACAAACCAATCAGTCGAATAAGGAAAACACCATCAGGTCGGAGCTTCAGATTAACGAAATCACGAAGCATATCCTTCTTGTGCAGACTGCGGGCAACAGTTGGATCAATCTGAATGATGAGCAATGACTGTCATATCATGTTTTGTGAGCTCATTACCTTGTTAATGTAGTTGTTAACGAGAGATGTTCCTGTATTTGGAGCAAAAGTATTGAAGGTCCATTTCAAGAAACTTGTCAATCTACAATCATGTCCTTATCAATCAAAGATAACATCTTTCCGGAGTAACTTACGTAAGAGTGAACATTATGCAAAGCCAATACCATAATCCAATAAATATTTTTTCATTAAACATATTAATCATCAATACACATTGAACTGTGTGCTTATGCATATTTCCTAGCACTCTGACTTGATAATCACATAAAGTAATTCTTAAATGTTAATAATTTCATTTTATGTTTGACATGTCAAGTACTACCTGGGGAAGTTGCCTGTTTCAGGCCATTCCATTCCACCCAACAAATCACGGGAGACATCCCATCCCCAACTGTAGCTTTCGACTCCCAAAACTTCCTTCAGCATAACGAATTGGAACAAAGCGTTCAAAGTGAAAAGAAGTTTGATTCCCTAGAAAAATCGATAATCAGTTTTTCGTACACATACATTTCCGTTACCAAATAAGCGAAAACAATGTAACGTCCTGTAGAGATTCGTCGAAGGCTGCTTCCAACAGCTGATGTCGATATCGTGTGATCTTGAGTAAGAAAACCGGCGATCGTTCGCATGTTCTTTGCTCTTGTTTCCTCATCCATATTAGAGGAAATAGCACAAGTATTAAGAATTGTTCCAACTTTCAGTCCTAGAAAGAGTTGATTTGAAGATAAAGCTATGAAACTCTAACCAGCTCCGTCATATATAGCTCTCCATAAGATGATTGGAATATAGAAAAGTAAAGCTTGGAAAGCAAGGATGAAAGGCACCCACTGATAATAACCTAATATATTCGATCACTGAATAACTTTCTTTGATACGTCTATTGATACCTATTTGTTTTTGTTCACGAAGTGTATCGTTGATTGGAATATCAATCATATGCTGGCCAATATCCCAGGGCTCAGGCACATCACGTTTTTCAAACATGGGCACATAGTATGTATTCTGCACATAGCAATAGTCTAGTGCATATTCCATCCACCATCCTTCAATTATTCAATTAGATCAGACTCGTGATCTGTTATATTACCTTTGTAATAAGCTGGAAACCAACATTGGATTGGTGAGCCAACGAAGCTTAAACAAAAAGGATAATTTCATCATCACCGAACGGCATTTGCATATTACATTATTCAAAAACCAGATTTCATTTAAGTCTTTCATATTTGCATATTGAACGGTTGGAGTGACTAACCAAATAAGTTCAAAAATGCAGAAAACTTTTAAAAATTCTCTCACCTCCATCCAGATACAAAAGCCGAAGCGACTACCAGCCCAACAGTCGAAAAACAATAATTCAACCGATCTGTGAAGTCTCCATCGGCTTGAGGAGATACGGCCGATAGAAGGCCTTGCAGAACATTCATTTCTATCTACAAATGTGGGCAAAGGTTTTCTCGAGACTGAATTCAGGAATTAGTTGTGCTCTGAGCAATGTCTACAAAAGTCATTTTAAAACAAAAAAACGAATAGAAAAAGAAAAAAGGTCAAAACATTTCGCAGAAATTGAATGAATAAAAAGCATCTGATGAGTAAAGATAATGATTTCACAGTAATTTCAATAGTTCGTATAGTTTAAACATTGTTTCGTACAAGTTTAATGTATTGAAATGATTCATGCTGTAACTACATGGAAGATCTATCATACAGTTAGAATGGAATGCAAGCTCCACTCTACCATGACCACGAATGAGATACGGAAAACGATTTAATACAACTGATAGAAAGCTCGAAAATGGTTCGAAATGAGTTCAAGCTTAAAAGTATTCATAAGTCATAATGAGGTTTATATTTACAAAATTAAATTTTTCATCTTACTTAGAAACATACATTGACATACAGGACCCTATTAGATCCGAAAGAGGAGACGACAGACGTGCAGAGGAACAGACATACAGACTGTAATGGGCGGAGCGTTTTCTCTCAATGCATCTGAATTCTCATGACTGTATACAGTCTCTGATTAACGACTTGTAAAAGAGTATATGATTATGGGAGATTGATGTGAAAAAGAAGAATTCAGGGTCGTTGAAAACATGATGCAAACTAAGAGACTAAAAGAACAATCGAGAGTAAGAATGTTAAAGAAGCCAACCCTTCCTCGGAAACTCAGCATATCCATTCCATCCATGCTTTCAGAAAATTCATTTTCTTTTTTTTTTTCAGAAAAAAAAGCTTTCTTCTCTGATTGTTTTTCAATTTATTTTTTTAACAATCCCTTTTTCTTGCAGTTGCTTTCACAACTTCTCTCATTTGACTATTTTGTATGTTTGCAACCGTTCGCTGTACTGTGATGTGCTACGAATGAACACCACCCACATGTACTCTAACGTGAGCTGACGTATAAGCCAGCTTATGCTAATTTTTGTAAAATTACATTACATTGCGTAGCTTTAAGCATTTCAAATAAATTTTTAATAAATTATAGTTCAACATTAGAATATTTGTATGTATTACATATGCTAAATATATATATA